TTTTTTGGTCCATTCCAGGCCGCCCGATAAGCACCTATAGTCAATGGTGCGGTTGGTAGATCTTCAAAGTTAAATCGGACCTAGATTAAATTATATTTTAACGTAAGACTCATATGTTTAAAAACTAGTAATTGTTCTGCGAGTAGCAATTCTATAGACTAACATTTTTATTCCTCATTTATTCTTTATTAAGATTGTAATAGATTTATGCTTAAACTCGTTCCATTAGGTAGGGCTAATCTAACACACTACCTGGATAGAATTGGGCTCATGACTTTTGCAAAAATTATATTGTATAGGCGCTCTCAAATATAATAGTTGGTATAATTTACATATAAAAAATATACATATATAAAGAAAGAGATATATTTTCTATATATTAATGTATAATATACACAATTTATGCAAAATTAATATATTTTTTTTATTGACTGACGAATATAATTACTTTTGACCAAATGGCTAAATGCGTAACTTGCGCAGGATTTTTTAGCCAATTTAAACTAAGGCTTATTGGTCCAACTCATATTAGAGGGGAAGTGCACAGTGAGCCACTAATTAGAGCTATATTTACTCTTTAGCCACTGTTTAAAATGTATTTACTCTTTAGGCAGTGCTTTAATAAATTTTTACCCGCCCGGATAAAAATACCCTTATACTACACATGGTGTCCTTAACTTCATGAGTGTTGTTTAAATATTAAGGATAAAGTGTCCTGAATTAGCACCTTCTGTTTTAAACTTTTGGACATCTTGTCCTTAACTTCATACGTGCAGTGTAAATGTTAAGGACATGGTGTCCTTAACTTTATGAGTATAGTATAAATATTAAGGACACGGTGTCCTTAACTTCATGAGTGCTGTGTAAATATTAAGACAACGTGTCATGTATTTGCACCTTCTGTTGTTAAACTTTAGGACATCATGTCCTTAACTTCATATGTGCAGTGTAAATGTTAGGGACATGGTGTCCTTAACTTCGTGTGTGTAGTGTAAATGTTAAGGACATAGTGTCCTTAACATCATGAGTGTTGTGTAAATAATAAGGACATGGTTCGCCTTATGTCCAGAGGTTAAGGAATTTCAGAAACGTTTGTCCTCAATATTAGCTTCCTAGTTCAATATTTCAGGACATTTAGAAAATTATGTCCTAACGTTTACTTGTTTCACTTAATGTCCAGAAGTTAAGGACATTTCAGAAACGTTTGTCCTCAATATTAGATTCCTAGTTCAATATTTCAGGACATTTAGAAAATTGTGTTCTAACGTTTACTTATTTCGCTTAATGTCCAGAAGTTAAGGACATTTGAGAAACGTTTGTCCTCAATATTAGATTCTTAGTTCAATATTTCAGGACGACTAGAAAATAATGTCCTAACGTTTACTTGTTTCACTTAATGTCCAGAAGTTAAGGATATTTCAGAAACTGAATTTGATTCTCGTTTAATCCCACAAAACAGACTCAAGTAAGGATTACAGCTTCCCAATAGCAGTACAAACACATCCCAATAGCTAATTTGATTCAATTTTTCACGAAATCAACAAAGCTCAGGTGGTCGTCTTCTCCAAAATCGGCTTCGCAAATTTTCGCCAAACCCTAGCAAATTAGATCACAAATGGTCCAAATTTGTAGAATCAACTCCAAAGGTGTTTCCCAACAAATATTTTGAACACCCAATTGATTTTGAATACCCAAATTTTCGGAGAAGAAACGAGAGCTTAAGTGCTGGATAGAAGCGATGGTTTTAAGATTTTGATAATAAAAAAGGGTTGAAAAGAAAAAAATATGAAGAAATGGTAAAAACGTCTATTCGTATTAATTATAACAAAGTAATGATTATATATACTTATCATTGAAATTGCTGGCTAAATACTAAATATACAGTGGATATGTCATGTGGAGTACTTTTCCTAGTAAATTTTATGCAAAAACTCCTTTAAAGTGCAAGTTTAAATAAATTAGGATATTCTAGTTTGTTGTGCTGATCAATCTGCATATAAGTGCGAGCTAATTGAACAAAAAGAAATCTCAAGTCCTAAGCCACCTATATTTTCTTTTTCTATAAAAAGATAAGAAAAGGCAAAAAGAGGGGAAAAAACTTGAAGAATCTTTGATTTTATTTGTTGGAAAGCCATTAATTTTTGTTTGGTTAAGAGGCATTGGTGTATATGGGCTACCTTTCGGTAGCCGCCCAATTGTCATTTGTCACACTTGGAATTGGAAAGCCGACTTTCTGTCATTGTCGGCTTCTTCTATCTAACCACCATACTTTTATCCAACTTGTAGTTTTCAACCTCTCTTTTATTATATATTGCAGTTATACCTTTTAACTTTCCAAAATTTATAGCCCGTTTGGCCAAGCTTATAAAATCATCTTATTTTGAGAAGTGCTTTTCTCAAAAGTACTTTTAAAAAAAGTGCTTTTAGTGAGAAGTAGTTTGTGTTTGACTAATTAATCAGAAAAGCACTTTTGAGCAATAATTAGTGTTTGGCCAAGCTTTTGAAAACTGCTTCTAAGTATATTTTTCTCAAGAGTGCTTCTCAGAAAAGTGCTTTTGGAGAGAAGCTACTTTTTTCTGCTTCTCCTCAAAAATACTTTTTTTTCCTTCCAAAAGCTTGGTCAAACACCTTAATTTTTTGCCAAAAGTGCTTTTGGCAAAAAAAAAAAAAAGCACTTTTGGCCAAAAAAAAGCTTGGCCAAACATGCTATTAGTTGCTATTCCTACCGTTTTAATCTTCTTTACAAAATACTACTTCCTCCAGTCCACAATAAGTAACCATTTTACCTTTGGAACACCCATTAAAGAAATACGAACTTCTAGAGGGAAAAAATGTATTCACTAACAGCTTTTTTGGATGGTTGTTACATATCGTTTCATAATATATCGTATTGTATTGTATTGTAATGTATTGTATTGTTTGATGAATACAATGTTTGGATAGATTATATCGTTTGACGTCGTTTCATGATATCACACACCTGCAATATATGTAAAGAATAAACTTTCAATATTATAAACAAAAATTATGACACGAGGTAAAGTTATTATATGAAAATATATGATAAATGATAAAATAAAATTATTTAATTATAATGAAGGGTGAGATTGATAGAAAAAGATAAGGTAACGACGCGGCCATACCAAATCGGTCTTCATATAAAGTGGCACATTTCGTCGTTACGTGACGACGAATTTAACAATACGATACAATAAAATTTAAGTAACAATCAAAACAAACATTATATTAAAAGTAACAATACGATACAATACAATATGTAACAAGCATCCAAAAAAGTTGTAAATTAACCTTAATTAATTGTTACCTTTACACATTGGAATATTTAAATAAGGGCAAGTTTTGGAAAAATAAAATTAATTTCTTCTTGATTATGTAAATGGACACTTATTTTGGACCAAAATAAAAGGTAAAAAAATTATTCATTATAGACCGGAGGGAGTATTAACCATTGAGCATGTCAAAGCTAATGGTTACGAATTTGCTATCACATTCGCGCGGTTAATATATACTTGGTATATTTTAAGTTACACACTAGTATAGAATATTCTAAATTAAATTCTGTTGTATACATATTTTCAATATGTAATAGTTCAATCACAATATAAACTAAAAAAGATAAAAAGATAGTGCAAGAAAATAATTTTGGATTGATCGTGTAAAAATTACTCGCAGTTTAGTAATTATTTGCATGAAGATTGTAAATGTTGAGCTAGTTATCGAATTAATTATCATGTAACGTTGATAGTAATATTACTTGACCCATGTGTGCTGCTAAATCGGAAACTTCTTGGTTCTTATTATTATCATACATTCACAATTCATAAGGAAACTTCCGTTCCAATTTGGACATACTTTAGAAAGATCTAGATAAATATGACCTTTAAAGTACCAAGATAATGACTTAGCCAATATTCATTTATCTTTCATTACTCCATCAAAGAAAAAAAAGATTTGACTATTAAAGTACCAAGATAAAACTAACCACTCTATTAATTCATTGACGTTTCAATTATCAAGAAAGAAAAGATATGACTTTTAAAATACCAAGACAATTACTCCACTTAGGGCCGGGAGGGCTTTACTCTTCGCCGAAAAATTATACTATATATATAATGCAAAATCTGTTTTTATCTTTATATTTTATATTTTGAATCCTCCTAACAAAACCCAAAAACATAGCTTAATGGTCAAGGTATTCAAAACTTTTATAAGGTTATTGGTTCAATTTTCATGGCCACAATTTCTTTTAATTTTTTAACTTTTTTTTTAAAAACCCCTTAGCGGAAATTTAGCCTCATATATGTTTCAATGATCAAGAACTATTAATGATTTGCTTCTCACGCCCTTTAACTTGTTCCTCTCTTATTTTCTTAATCAAACAAATCAGAAAAGTGATAATAGTGAATTGATAGGAAAATGTGGAGATCGAGTATTAGGGTTGTAGGTTAGGAGGTAGTTGAGTCTTGTCTTACATCGTACCTCTATGAGACTAGAGTGGTAGGATTTTTGTCTAAGATAGCTATTGGTAATATTGTGTCTTACTATTACGCTCTTCAATGCATGACCTATTTACTACCTATCGCTTTTGCTTTGCATCTTTCTTCTCAATTTAATGTTGTTCCTATTTTTCCTATGATTTATGTGGTTATACTAATATTGTCTCCCTTTTGTCTTTTTGTTTTCTTGAGCCGAGGGTCTTTCGGAAACAACCTCTCTACTCTTTCGGGGTAGGGATAAAGTCTGCTTACACACTACCCTCCCCAAACCCTACTAATGAGATTTTACCGGGTTGTTGTTGTTGTTGTTGTAATAGGCAAGAAAAGAGAGTAAAGTTGCCAATCATTTAAAGATGAGTACTAAAGTTGAATTTTAAACAGTTCTGGGACGTCTATGTAATTTTGGTTTTTTGTTGGGTCAATATTTTGGTTCTTTTACTTCCTCTTTGTTTGGTCCATTTACTTCAGTGTTGAAAACAACGTGCATATCTGACAGAAACGTTCAAACTCTGCGTTAAAAGTATTAAGCTGTAGGTACATGTACCCCATATAAATATATAATATACATATATTATACTTTGTGTCTGATCATCTCCATTTTTTCGATTGAAACCTTTGGAATTTTCTTTAAGGAAAAAAGGACTGTCCTCTAAGGTAATTTTCTGCTTCTTGTGTACATACAATTGGCACAGTTTCATTTGGTAATCATTTCTGCTGCTTTTTTACCTTGAAGTTGCAGTTGCTTATGCTCTTTTTTTTTTTTTTTTTCTGGTTTCTTATATTGGTGACTAAATTCTTGGAAAAAGATTCTTTTTTTTTCCTATAGGTTTCTCTTGGACTGTTTCTTGTTTCTTGAGTTTATATTTTGATGTCTGTGCCAAATTCTGTTTATGTTTTTGGTGTTTTTGATTTTGTCTAAGGACTGGGGTTTTGAGCTGGATTCATTTGATCAATTAAGTTTCGTTTTATGGATATATTAGAATTTCAATATTTGAGTTGATCTTTTTTTAATTTTTTATCTGCTATTAATTATAAACCCCAATAGAAGCTTTTTGTTGATCTTTTTGGGTTTGGAAAGTCTGTAACAAGTAAAAATAAGAGGAAAAGTTACATATGGTGATTTTAGATGGAATAACTATAAGTAAAATATGATATGGGGAAGCAGATTATTTTGACTTTATGCTGCAGCTGTATAAAAGGGCAGCCTGGTTCATTAAGCTCCTGCTATGTGCGGGGTCTGGGGAAGGGCCGGAGCACAAGGGCCTATTGTACGCAGCCTTACCTTGCATTTCTGCAAGAGGCTGTTTCCACGGCTCGAATCCGTGACCTCCCGGTCACATGACAGCAATTTTACCAGTTACGCCAAGGCTCCCCTTCTGCCACAGCTGTATGGATAATGATAAGTGACATGTATACTTCAGATTTGGTTGTTTCCTCCATCTGGGAAATGCTGAATTTCCTTTTTGTGTAATTTAATTGAATCACCTGCATTTAAAGTCTGTTTGTGTTTGCTTGACATTTTCTTTTACTGCTATGTTTCAGGTTGCCTCTTAGTAGTCTTCAATTGTCATTCTGCCATTGCACAAATTTCGTGAAAATGGATGTAAAGGAGACTTTTAGTAAAGGAAAAACTAAATGTCCTTTTAGTATAACAGCAGCTTTAACTACAGCATTTCTTGAATGGTTGCTCATGATTTTTCTGTTTATGGATGGTGCTTTCGCCTACTTAGTTACAAAGTTTGCTCAGTATTGCCAATTACAAGTTCCATGTTTGCTTTGCTCGAGGCTGGATCATGTTCTTGGCAAGGAAAAAGCTGGATTTTACTGGGATTTAATATGCCCCAATCATAAGTTGAAGATATCTTCATTAGTTCTTTGTCATTCTCACAATAACCTTGTTGATGTTCATGGGATTTGCGAGAGTTGTCTATTCTCATTTGCTACAGTAAATAAGTCGAATGCTGAAACCTATAGATTGCTTGTTGGAAAACTCGGAGTGGATCCTCACCTTGCTGATAAGGATCCTTTACTCGAGGAGCAAACCAGTCGTTCCCCAGGAACAAAAAATTGTTATTGTTGTAAAGAGGAATGTGTTTCCAGAGGATATTCCCAAAAATTGTTCAAGTTTACATCTTTGTGTGATGATGCAGCTCAACTTGATGTGCCTTTATCTGAAACTAAGGAGATCGGAAATGAGCCATCTGTTTCAGTCTATGATCCTTTGCCTCATCTGGAATACAAAAAGGTCAAGGTTAGCTCTGATTCTGAATCAGAAGCTGCACACTCAGATGGTGATAGTGCTAGGTCTCTAATCCGTGCAAGGGACAATTCTATGAATGATCCTTCAGATAGATGTTTGCATCCGGAACCTCAGTTTTTTACTTTCACGGATGACCTTGCTGCTGAGAAACTGATACATTCAGCTTCAGTGCCCGAACCATCACTTCTAGATGCAGAAATTGATTTCAGATGTAGAGATTTCCCTTCTAATATGGCATCTGCTGCAGCTGTTGTGCATGGATTAGAGGAAATTAACTGGCAGAAAGCTGAACAGAAGACTGATGCATCTGCCCCAGCTGAGCTTATAACATTTGATGAGGCCACCCCCTTTTCCAATGTCAATGAAAATCTGGTTGATGTATCAATAGAGACCTGTAAGCCAGCTTCCTTATTGTTTCATATCTCTTTTTTTTTACCATGTAAGTGAGTCCTCTATATCTCTATGTTTTTCCCCAAGATCAAAGTGCACTAAAGTGAGTATTTTCTTGAATTTTTGCTGTCGTAAACTGGCAGTTGCTCGCCTTTGAACATCCAAATAGGAACAAGAAAAAGAAAAAGAAATTACTTATGGAGTTTAAATTTTCCATTTTTGATTTTCAAACTACTATTTTTGTTAATTTGTTAATTATCTAGTGTATTTTCATCTTTTATTATGTTTTACCTTGTCGTTCTTTGTATTTATTAGCATCTTGCTTTTAATTTACAGCAGCTGCTGAGATGGTCAACCAAGTTGTCAAAGATTGTGGGGAAGTCTCTCAGGCAAGAAGTGATGAGATCCCGAAGAGTGAAGCAGAATTGGATTCTAAACCACAGACAAATGAGACTAGCTTACAAACAGCTGGTTCGTTTGATCTAGGTGATGCTTATAAGCTCGCTGTTGGCAATAGATCAAGGCAATTATCTGGAAAGTTTTTGGAGCAGATGTCATTCAAGGATTCTACACGAATGAGTGAAGATGTGAAGGTCCTACTTACACAGCTGTCTGCTCCTCGTGGTACCGATGCCACATTGAGTGAGATTAGTCCTAGGGTGTCTGTAAATGGTGAGGATATTAGAACTTCTGAATCTTCTAGCTTTATTGGAATGCAGATAGCTCATAAAAGGATCTCACTTGAGAGAAATGAGTCTGGTTTATCTCTGGAAGGAAGTGCAGTGAGTGAAATTGAAGGTGAGAGTGTGTCTGATCGTTTAAAACGACAGGTGGAGTATGATAGAAAACTAATGGCTGCTCTCTATAAAGAGTTGGAGGAAGAGAGAAATGCGTCCTCAGTTGCTGCAAATCAGGCTATGGCAATGATTACAAGATTACAAGAGGAGAAGGCAGCTCTGAACATGGAAGCCCTGCAATGCCTAAGAGTGCTCGAAGAACAAGCTGAATACGACAATGAAGCACTGCAGAAAGCAAATGATCTTCTTGCACAGAAGGAGAAAGAGATTCAAGATTTAGAAGCTGAACTTGAACTTTACAAGAAGAAACTTGGGAACATGGCTCTCTTTGATGATGCACTTGAGTCAAGTTATGATTCAAATAAAGCCAAGGAAGCCGATACAATCTGCAGTGAAGGCAGTTCTTCTTTTCCTGACGTGAATGCTGATAAACCCACCAGCAAATATGGAATGTCCTCTGGAGAGAACATAGATAAGAGGAGTCTGATACTTGATTTTGAAAGTGAAAGACAGCAAATTATGTTTTGTTTGAACAAACTGGAAGAAAGGCTCCATTTGTTCTCTAAGCATGAGGCTAGTCAAGAGTCTGCTAATGTGAACAGCGACTTTTCAACAGAAGAATGGGTTGAAGTGGGTAATCCGAAAGAATTGGACAATAGGGAGTCTTCTAGAAATAATGGTGAAATAGAGGTAAATGTGTGCCTAGAGCCAACCTTCGACACAAGCCCTTCTGGTGAAGAAGTATCTACTTGCAAGTTTCCATATGAGAGCAAATATAGGCAATGCGCTGATGGAGATTCTGAGTTAGAGACTTTGAAAAATGAGTTATCAGTTTTGAGCAGCAGGCTGAATGCACTTGAAACAGAACACTGCTTTCTTGAGCATTCCATCAACTCACTGAGGAATGGAGATGAGGGGCATCGATTCATCAAGGAGATAGCTGGTCACTTGCGACAGTTGCATTTTGTTTGGGACAGAACAAATGGTGATCTTGCAAGTAAATAAAGGTGATCACCTTATGAATTTCATCTCTCCTCGAGACATTTGTCTAATTCCTTCTTGGAAGTTGGTTTATCTTAGGGTTTATAGAAGTTCAATTTTCTCGTGTGATAATTAGCTTTGCAATATATTAATTTAGGTTGGTATGCAACTTGACTTTCAATTAGAAGCACTCATTTTCCTTGAGGCTCGTCTTTCCTTTTCTCTGTTCTTTTAGAAAATCTTATATTATGAAAATGGATTACTATGCTGTATGCATTGCGTGTTGGTCTTATGACATATGTTATTCCTAGGGCTGTCAAATTTGGCCCAAGCCCAAATGACCCGCCCAACCCGCTCAAGGTTGGGTTGGTTATTGACCCGCCCATTTATTAAATTTAGCCAATATTGACCCAACCCATCTCAACCCATTTAAAGTTGGGCTAATTTTTAGCCCAAATTGATCCATGAGTAAGTTTGTCAAAATATCATAGAAATAATTTTATTTTTTATTTAATATTTTAAATATGACCATAACAAAAGCAAACAAGCCTTATTTAGTAATTATACAATTTATAATAAAATAACACTTGTTAATTAAAGTTTAATAAGAGTTGGGCGGGTTGGGTTATGACCCGAATTTTAACCCATCTTGACCCAACCCATCTTAGCCCGAGTAACTTTTGGGCGGGTCATTTGACCCGCCCAATTATTGACTCAACCCATTTTGACCCGCCCCGCCCATTTGACACCGCTAGTTATTCCTTCCCTTTTTGGGTTTTAGTTTGATTAGCTTAAGAGATCATTAAAGAGATAGCAGTTATAATTTTTTTTTTTTGGTGAAATAACATTTGGAAGGTTTACTAATGATATACTCCAGGCTCCAACAGCAGGAGAGATGAAGCGCTCATAGCTAATATTTGTCTAAAATGTATTATGTTAGTATGTTATGGGGTAGGAGACTAGTGAGGGAGTCAATAGTCAAATATGCTAGAAGAACTGTTCTAGGATGTTTCTCTAAGTAACCCATGTGATAAATTTTCCAATTAAAAGTATTTAGCCAACAGTTGTGATGGTGTCAACAGGTTCAAGTTCTCTAAAGTAATCCAAGCATTCTTGCAAATAATTTAGTTGAACTGCTATTGCTTCATCTTTCTAAGAACTGCGGTATCAAATGAATTCTTCTTTTTCCATCTATAATTCGGAATATGTACTTTCTTTCACAATAGAGAACTCTGCTTTTTTCTGTTTTTGAAATCAGTGGATTATAGGCCTGCCTATTCGGCCATTTTCCACTTAAACATCATACTTGTTTCACCCTCTAGCCCTTGAACTTGTGATGTACTCCTACCACACTTCTTGCGCATCACTTTCTTTTCTTTTGAACCAAAGCTGTTGTAGCAAATCGAGGTCATAGATTTGGGTTATGTCCTCTCACTGAACATCTGGAAGTTTGAAAAAGTTAGTCTTTGGAGTCTTTCTTTATGATGCCAAGTTTGGCACAAAGAATCCCAATTATATCAGTTTATGTATCAAAATAGTTTAATTTGCAATATGCGTGATTTATTGATTTCCTAAATTCGCTTTAATATAGTAGTTTTATGACCATTGCAGTTTCCCATTGGATCCAGAGTCAAGCATTTATTTATCTTAAGTTCCTCAATATTTCCTCTCTCTCTAGAATCGATATATGATCTCTCAAGCTTTTGCCATGTTTCTTGTATTCTTCCTCTGATCCGGTCAAAGTAGCAACAGCTGCTCCCAGTCTCTCATAATAACATCCTTCAAACCCTTGGAGTTTGTACCTTATAGCCCTGCTCACTGTTGATAAGAGTCCTGCCTCCTGAGCTATTGGACTCTTCTTTCACATTCTTTGTTACCTTAATTTCGTAACAACTGAGTTCTGTCAATGAACCAACTACAAAATATATTGTTCTGTATCTTCCCAGAACTTTGTGGTTAGAAGCTGGTGTTTTCATGTAACTAGATTTCTGCCCATTGTGGATAAAATGCCCTTTGACTGCAGCGTACGGAGGATATGAATGAAGAATGATTCCCTGACAAACAGTTCATTAAATCATTTTTTATGTTTTGTGGGACGTACAATTGGTGAAATGTGATAGTGGTATTAGCGTTGAGATGAAGGCCTGGGAGGGTTAATAAGGAGTAGGAGTAGTGAGAGTTGCAGTTCAAATGCTTGTGCGCTTAAGAGCCCGTGTGTTGTTTTCCTCCTGATGATACAAATATTATCCTTGCAAAAACACTTTTTAACCATATGGATAACCAGACACTGTTGAATGAATCATTATCCATCGGCCTTGTTTCACATTCAAGATGCATGACATGGTGAACATTTCACCTGTTATGTTATGCGCTATCTATGGTCATTTTCTGCTGATATTCGTGTCATCGTTGTTTGGAGATAGCTATTCATCAGCTTTCTTTCAAACTATTGTATTCCTGGTCATGATAAGATTGCCTTTCCTGAAATCTCGGACCATGGGAACTTTGATGTATCGAGTCTTGGTAATTGTAAGCCACTGTCCTCTTCAACCAGTGATTTTGCAATGTTGTTATTGGCAAAGACTGCGACTTAGGACATGCAGTCATATGCAGAAGTTCATTATGAACTATAATCTGTTTGAAGTTGTTCACTCCAAAATCCACTTTGGATATCAGTTGAATACTCTGTTAGTTGTGCACCATTTCCGCGTTCATGCTTTTATTTTTATTAACATTTCCCTGCTTTAGGTGATGGAACAGATTTTTGTTTGACATATTCATTTTGAATTCTTTGCAGATTAATTTAAAGATGGCTCGTTCTCCTAGAGCATGAAGTGTACAGTTTTTGGGTGAACTGTGAACATGCTTTCTCCCATTAGTAGAAGGCTACAAGCAGCAATTTAGCATTGTATGATATGTTTTTTTCAGTGATTTTCCCCTTTTTGTTTCATTACTACATTGGTTTTGAGTAAAGATTGGTTGTAAAGTTGAAATTCAAGAGTCCTATAATTTGATGTAAAGTTCTGCTAGAGTGGCTAGGATCATGATTTTAATGTAGTGGATTAATGAAATTGTGTTATAAAATTTGTTTTGGTTATGTTTGTATCTAGCCTGATAGTTTTTCTTTTTATAGATTTTTTCAGTCAGGATGACTTTCCTCCTATATAACTATGGAAAAATAGAATCTCCTACTTCTGCAAACAGATAACTAAACAACAACAACAACAAACTCAGTGAATTCCCACAAGTCGGGTCTGGGGAGGGCAGTCAGTGGCGGCTCGATGGAGTACGAGGCCTAATGATTATTGTAAAGTAAAAATTAATCCAAAATCAGTTCAAAAATCAATATGGAGCTGATTAGCTCATAGTATGTTCAGAAGTCATTGTAAAGTAAAAATTAATCCAAGTTGAAGAGAATAAGAGGAATGAAGTAGGAAACCAAATTCTCCCTGAATAATAATTGGAACTATGCCATAATGATTATTGACATAGCACATAATGATAATGATATCTGGAATGAGTTATAGTAATAATTTAAAATATACTTTGGGGACCTATTTTTGGGGGCCTAAAGCCTTGCCTTTAGCTGCCTTGGGGTTGAGCCGCCCCTGAGGGTAGTGTGTATGTAGACCTTACCCCTATCCTTGGAGGACAAAGAAGCCGTTTCCCGTAGACCCTCTGCTAAAGAAAGATGAAAAGAAGCAGTGCAAACAAACAGAAAACTATAGAATGGAGAAAATATCCAAACAGAAAGCAATGTGCAAAGGTAGCAACAAACAAAACAGCAATCATATTATATATGTGCTGTATCTTTGGAAGATACAAGTTTGAAAAAGGAAACTGCAAAATGGTTGCAAACTCTATGGGAGGCAAATAGTAATCCTAAAAGCCACAACTCACAAACAACACTCTTTGTTGTGGGTTGCTTTTGCTGTCACTCTGTATTTTTTTAATAATATAATAGCCTCTCTCACTTAACATAATAATAATAACAAATATAATAAGAAATAATAGCAGAATAATAATATAGCATCCTCATATCTAGACTGAGATACAGTAAGAATGACATTTTAACCCAAGAAGTAATTCTACTTCTTGATTTGCTCCTTGTTGTCATTGTTATTCTTGGTTGCTGCTGAATTTTGTGCTACTGCACGCTCACCATTATTGTTTGGTGTCATCAGCTTGTCGAACTTTTCGCTCTTTGTCAACACAATCTCAATCTGAAATTTCATATATGCAGAATAGTTACGTAAATAGTTAGTACATACATTTTATACAGGGGAAATTAAAAGGAAAAAAGAATTGCTTACTCTTGCTTTCTGAACCATGCGACCTTTGGCCTCATCTTTCATTCCAACTGTGGATGTTAAAACCTCTGCATCATATTCATGAGAACTCTATTAGTTGAGAGGAAATGACCGGTGCATAAAGTATCCCGCGTTCATGCAAAATTCGGGGAAGGACCGCACCCCAAGAGGGTATGATGTAGGCAGCTTATCCTGATGCAAGTATCAGTGCCTGATTCCACTGCTCGAACCCGTGACTTATAGGCTACAAGTTGGGAGGAAATGCTCGGTGCACAAAGCATCCTGCGTTCACACGGGATTCGGGAAAGGGCCGCACCCCAAGGGGATGTAATGCAGGCAGCCTACCCTGATACAAGCATCAATGGCTGATTTCATGGCTCGAACCTGTGACCTACAGGCCACAAGCTGGGAGGAAATGCCCGGTGCACAAAGCATCCCGCGTTCACGCATGATTCGGGAAGGGCCGCACCCCAAGGGATGTAATGTAGGCAGCCCATCCTAATACAAGCATCAGCTCGACAGCTCGAACTCGTGACTAGGTCACAAGCTGAGAGGAAATGCAGATCTCCAGAATCTCTATACACTTCATTTTTGTTCTCTTTTTCAAAAGCTAAAAAAGTATGTTGTCCTGTTATTTGAAAGTTGAAACTATGTATTGTATTAGACAGGAAAATTACTTAATCTTGCTCGTGTTTATACCACACCAAATAATTTAACCTTAAGAGTTAAAAGTATTGCATTATTTGTTTTATTGTTTTGGCGTAAACATTAGGCGCGAGAAAGTTTTTCTTGTTAACATGCCCTGCTCTAGGGGTGGCGCGATGGTTAAAATAAAACAGTTACCTACCCATATTATCCATAAAAAAATGGGTTGGATAATGAACTTTTTAAAAACGGGTCAAATATGGATAAGAACCATATTATCCATTTAGAAATGGATAATCAATGAGTAACCAATGGATAACCAATGGGTCTAACTTTTACATTTGTAAAGCCTCAAATTGGGGGTTCCTCAAGTTAGGAAGACTAAGAATTCTCCCAAAAGTGATCATATACAAGAAGTCATGGATAATATGGGTTATTATCCGCCGGTTACCCCGTTTTTTATCCGTATTAAATATGGGTAGGGTCGGATAATTGATCCGTTTTCGACCCGAACCATATCCGCCCCGCCTCGCCCGTTTGCCGCTCCTAGCCTGCTCACATCAATACTATGATCTAAAAGTACTTACTGGGATCAGCATTACTTACTCTTTTCTGTGGCAAATCCACCATTCTTCAAAATCTCAGCAACTGTGACAACCGTAGTGATAGCTGTCCATAATTTAACATAAATGAATTAGCAAAAGGAAACTATTTTACATTTGAATCGACTTCGAAAAGTAAATAATCGTGCTAAACTAGGCTAAAGTATCCCCTATCATTCTTTTTTTCCTCTTGTTGTTTTTGACTTTGGTTTAAATTGGAAAAAGATTTTCATTTTTGTATTTATCATAGAAATGGCTGCATTATGATCGAGATATCAAGTTAACAAAAAAAGAACCAATGTAAAAATAAATAAATCAAAATAAAGATTCAAGATAGCTTATTACCCATGCCCAAAGCAGAAAGCTCAACCTCAGTATGCTGCTGCATGTACCTCTGGAGAAAGTTGGTAAATGAAGTTTATGAGTGTTTAATTCTTAGCATTCTATCACTAACGGATTTTCAAAAAATTTATACCCTAAAAAAAGATTCCAAGAAATCCCCCTTTTCTTTTTCTTTATTTCTGATGATGAAAAAATAGAAAGAAGATATAAGACGTCGATATTATGTACCTTATCAAAAAAAAAAAAAAAAAAAGGACGTCGATTAAAAAAATTAGAAAATAGTGGATCACATGAATGGACTATTGCAATGGGATGAACAAAGCAACTAAAAGAAACAAATGGTATACCTTCAAAAATTACATGCTAAGCTATGAGCCGCGAATCCAGAATTTAGAATCAGTGAAATTTGTTTTATTGTATCAAAGTTTTTCGCACACATATATAATCCGAGCCAGACACAATTAGCGGCGGAGGCACAAACCGAGCTACAGGTTTGGCCGAACCCAATAGCTTCTACTCAAATATTGTATCTGGTGTTTAAAATTCATTAAATATGTACAATTATTAATTATAGAAATTAATCACTAACACTTGAAATTGTCGTTCTAAAACTCAAAACTCATTTAAGTTATGAGTTGCGAATCCAGGATTTAGAATCATTGAGATTTTCCTATTGTATTAAAGTTTTCACACACACATATAATCCGAGCAGCTTTTACTCAAACTGTGTATTTGGTGTTTAAAATTCATTAAATATGTACAATATAGAACCCAGTCACTAACACTTGAAATTCGTTATTCTAAAATTCAAAACTCATAGAAGGTTGAAGTCCTAGTTCCGCATCTAGACACAATAAGTTAAATCAAACACGCGTGTCTAATCTAGATCGGCCACTACTCATTATATAAAGCAAAAAAAGAACATGAGGTGTACATATACCTTTGCAAGGTTGACATAGAAGAAGAGTGGTTTTTTGGTGTTAGACACTTGAATTCTGTTGCTCTTCTTCTGTGCCTCATTGTTGTTGGTTGCTTGTGCTGGTGCCGGTGCTGATGCTTGTGCTTGAGCTGGTGCCATTGTATCAATTGTCATAATTTTTCTTTACCTATTTCACGTAATATTCTACGTGCAAGAAAGCGTGAAATTCTAATCTAGCTTGGAAAACTAGTACAAAGACAGTTAAATAAAGGAAACATTAGACAGGCCCGATTCAATAGGAACCTAATGTATATCCGTACGCGTCGTTTTGACCAAGTAAACATCCATTGGCAGTTAGGAGAAAACAAGTAACAAATTAATGGTTGGCTATTAAAGCATTGAAACAACAACAGTGGCTATGCATGTTACTAGTTAGTACGTATAGTACTAGTGATTTTCTCTGGTTTTGCTTCTACTTCGGGACTATTTAAACATTAGTATTTGTCATCCAAAACATTTTTGGGTAAAAAAAAAAATTTAATTTCATTTAGGAGAATACAAACCATTGAATATATTAGAATCAAGAAGACTGTCCATTGATTAACTAAAAATTGTTGACGTAAGTGGTATTAGTCTGCAGATATATTGGGAAAACTTCATTTTTTTTTTTTGTATTTAATATTTGCCGTCCATTTTTCTCTTTCAATACAAACATGTAAGTTTGATTAATCGACTTATTTTTCTAAGTCTAAGAATCTAAATCCTGTTAAAATAAACTTGTTTTTAATTGAGTCTTTAAATTATAAGTCAATTACTCGGATGGTCACTCAACTATCCGAAATTATCTACTTTCGTTTGTAACAACTAAGTCACTTAACTATGCCTATATAGTACTCAGAAGATCACTCAACTAGATTTCTCAAATTTTTGATCACCAAATACCTATTTTATCCTCTAAATTATCAACTTTTATCTTCTTTTTATTTTTTTAGCTTTTTAATGTAATAATTTTTTTCTCTTTTTAATTTATATTATGGACTTACCTTAGAATAAATAAATTTTATTTGTAAATTAAATAAATTAAAATATTATTTAAGCATATATAATATTGAAATAATAAAATATTGAGCGTNACTCCTGCTACCCGCACTCCGGAGCAGATGGCTCCCCAGTTTCAGACTCCAGCAGCTCAGCCAGCGGAGCAGTTCAGCCGGGTATGGTAGCTCAGAACGGTGATGGAGTTGTTATGTCTGCTGATGCCTTGTGGAGATTGGACAGGTTCACCAAGCTCTTCACTACCACTTTTAGCGGTGCATCTTCTGAGGATCCCCAGGATTATTTAGACAGCTGTCATGAGGTTCTTAGGAACATGGGGATAGATATCTTTTCCGGAAGGCCGTCTTTGGAATATCCTTCTCCTTGACCCTCACCTGATGATACCCTGGACGTAAGTCAATCTTAGAGAAATACTTGGCACCCTGGTGTTGGTCAAACAGGTCGTCAATCCTTGGAAGTGGATACTTGTTCTTTACAGTAAACTTATTCAACTGTCGATAGTCGATACACATCCGTAACAACCCGTCTTTCTTCCGCACGAACAGGACTGGCGCACCCCAAGGTGAAGTGCTAGGCCTAATGAAGCCCTTATCCAGTAAGTCCTTCAACTGCGCCTTCAACTCTTGCAACTCTGTCGGGGCCATTCTGTATGGAGGGATAGAGATCGGTTGAGTGCCAGGCAATACATCAATGCTAAACTCAATCTCCCTCTCAGGAGGAAGGCCTGGGAGTTCATCTGGGAAAACATCTGGAAATTCATTGACCACGGGGATTGATTGTAGAGTAGGCGGCTTCGCCTCCGCATCCCTAACGCGAACGAGATGATAAATGTAACCTTTTGAGATCATCTTCCTTGCCTTAAGATAGGAAATAAACCTACCTTTCGGCGTAGCAATGTTCCCCTTCCATTCAATGACGGGTTCACCAGGAAACTGAAACCTAACCATCTTCGTACGACAGTCAACATTTGCATAGCATGAGGCCAACCAATCCATTCTCATTATCACATCAAAATCAACCATTTCTAACTCAAATAAATTTGCCGAGGTTTGACGACTACAAATCATCACAGTGCAACCTCTATATACCCTTCTAGCAATCACAGAATCTCCTATCGGAGTAGATACCTCAAGGGGTTTACTTATCAATTCAGGTTCAATGCCAAACTTATTAGCCACAAAGGGTGTAACATATGATAATGTAGATCCCGGATCAATCAGCGCGTATACATCATAAGAAAACACAGACAATATACCTGTAACAACATCTGGAGATGACTCGAGATCCTGTCGACCTACTAGAGAATAGGTTCGATTTTGAGCACCACTCGAACTCTGCACTGCACCTCTACCTCTACCTCGACCTGTCGACTGCTGAAAACCCCGTGCTGGAGGTCGAATTGATGAGGAAGAACCAGACACAGATCCAGTCGGCTGAGCCATACCACCAACTCCTCTGTTAGGACAATCCCGTATCATATGGCCAGGTTGTCCGCAAGAATAGCACGCATCAGAACCTCGACGGCACAATCCAAAGGTGGGCCTTACCGCACTGATCACAACGTGGTGTTAGGGGTCTCGTCTGATTAGTATCTCTGTGATATTGCGAGCCTGATGCCCGCGAACTCTNNNNTGTTCTCCAGGCGGGCTCCTGATTGCTAAAAACTTGAAATAAATGCCTCTGTTCTCCAGGCGAGCTCCTGATTGCTAAAAACTTAAAATAAATGCCTCTGTTCTCCAGGCGGGCTCTAGATTACTAAAACTTGAAATAAATACCTCTGTTCTCCAGGCGGGCTTCTGATTGCTAAAAACTTGAAGTAAATACCTCTGTTCTCCAGGTGGGCTCCTGATTGCTAAAAACTTTAAAATAAATGCCTCTACTCTCCAGGCGGGCTCCTGATTACTAAAAACATAAAATAAATGCCTCTGTTCTCCAGGTGGGCTCCTGATTGCTAAAACATGAAATAAATGCCTCTGTTCTCCAGGCGGGCTCCTGATTGCTAAAACTTAAAATAAATACCTCTGTTCTCCAGGCGGGCTCCTGATTGCTAAAAACATGAAAATAAATGCCTCTGTTCTCCAGGCGGGCTCTTGATTGCTAAAAACTCTAAATAAATGCCTCTGTTCTCCAGGCGGGCTCTTGATTGCAAACACTTGAAATAAATGCCTCTGTTCTCCAAGCGGGCTCCTGATTGCTAAAAACTTGAAAATAAATGCCTCTGTTCTCCAGGCGGGCTCCNACCATGAATTCACAGCAGAATAGAACGAATTACCATGAATTCACAACAGAATAAATGTTTGGATAACTCAGCCCTTATCTTGGTTCTTCAAACTCTAGGGTTTACCCCCAATTTGAACTTGAAAGAGAGGGAAAATCAATTAGGGTTTGTGGATAATGTTTGGGAGGAAGTTTGTAGGGGTTTAGGTCTGGTTATTTGTGAAATATAATGAGGGATATATTGCAGAAGATAAGCCTTTTAATGGGCTCTTTGTCTGACCCGAAATTGCCTCTTTTTGGGCTATCATTTAACCAAGTAGGTGACCCACCTACTTGTCACCTAGCAGCTTGTGCAGTCTCGCAAAAATGTCTATATCTCTCTACTCCAATGTCGTATTGATAAAAGGTTTAATGCGTTGGAAACTAGACTCATAGATCTTCAATTTGGTGGGTAGATCACCCCGTAATTCCAAGTATATTGGGAGAAAAGCTTAATAACATTTGACCTAAAGTTTAAGTAAAACTATGAACTTAAGTTGCAACAACTCTTGTCGACTTTTGTTTCATAACTCGTTTGACTTCAAGACTATGATACGGATATTTTATGATTCATATACCTTAAAATACGACCTCTTGAGAGTATTAAGCACCCCTAGGTTTACCCAAAAATACGGCTGACAACATCCTTGATTCGTTTAACTTCTAATACTTGTTAACCACCCTTATACACCTTTGTATCATTTAAGACCAATAGGATTAATCTCTTATCATCTCAAAGATAATCTCTTCATGGATTTACGTCGACGACCTTATGGCATGAACTAACGTATGTGAATATGGGTTGTAACACCCTCCCCCCCTTAGGAACATTCGTCCTCGAATGTAAGGGTTTATGGGGAGTCCAAATCATCGTGGATTCCAACGGAAATTCCCGGTCAATTTTCCCCTATAAAATGGTTACTAGCAAAACTTGCAAGCAGTTAAGCCCAACGTATGGCCTCAAGTTATGGACATGTACATTATCTACATATCACCATTTTGTATTAAGGAAGAGTATTCTCAAGTTATTGCTTACCTCATAGAGCCGTTTCACCTTCTAATGTATCCTGTGTTCCACCAGCATCCTTGTTATCTTCATTCTGGAATAGGTAAGGATATTTAGAACTCATCTCCTCTTCTGCTTCCCATGTCATTTCTTCCATATTCTTGTTCCTCCACAATACTTTGACAGAAGCTACATCTTTTGTTCTCAGCTTGCGGACTTGTCGATCTAATATAGCCACTGGCACTTCATCATATGATAGATCCTCTGTAACTTGTACATCTTTGATAGGGACAACTCGAGAAGGGTCTCCAATACATTTCCTCAACATAGATACATGGAATACTGGATGGACAAATTCCAATTCGGATGGCAATTCTAACTCATAAGCAACCTGTCCAATTCGTCGAAGAATTTTGTACGGACCGATATACCGTGGACTCAGCTTACCCTTTTTCCCAAAACGCATAACACCCTTCATCGGCGAGATCCTCAGGAAAACCCAATCACCAACCTCAAACTCCAGATCACGACGTCGGACATCAGAATAAGACTTTTGCCTGCTTTGTGCCGTCCTCAATCGCTCCTGTATCACTTTCACCTTCTCAATGGCTTGCTGAATCAAATCTGGCCCATATAATTCTGTTTCATCGACTTCGAACCATCCAACTGGTGATCTACATCTCCTCCCGTATAGTGCCTCTTATGGGTCCATTTTAATACTGGAATGGTAGCTATTATTGTAGGCAAATTCTATGAGTGGAAGATGGTCATCCCAATTTCCCTTAAAATCTAGAACACATGCTCGTAGCATATCTTCAAGTGTCTGAATGGTACGTTCAGCTTGTCCGTCAGTCTGTGGATGAAATGCAGTGCTGAGATTCACTTGTGTGCCTAAACCCTTCTAAAAAGACCTCCAAAAG